GCCGGGGCGCGGGCGGCGGGGGCGCGGGCGCGCGGGGCGGCCTGCCGCGGGCGCTGCGCGAGCGGCGGCTGTGGAGCAAGGCGCGCAGCTCGGCCTTCTGGGAGACGGTGCGCGCCAAGGCCTGCAGCCCGCGCGAGTGGGCCGAGAACTTCCGCGTGGCACCCGGCACCTTCGACTACCTGTGCGCGCAGCTGCGCGGCGCCATCCAGCGCCGGGACACCAACATGCGCCGCGCCATCCCGGCCGACGTGCGCCTGGCCATGACGCTGTGGCGCCTGGGCGCCTGCACCGAGTACCGCGCCGTGGAGCAGCTCTTCGGCGTGTCGCGCTCCACGGTGTGCAAGGTGCTGCGCGACGTGTGCGAGGCCGTGGTGAGCATCCTCACGCCGGCCTACGTGCGCCCCCCCGACCCCGCAGCCGTCGCGGCCGGGAACGGCTTCCCGCTGCCCCAGCTGGCCGGGGCGCTGGGCTCCCTGCACGTCCCCATCCGCGCGCCCAACGAAAACGCCGCTGGCTACTACAACCGCCACGGCTGGCACTCGGTGGTGCTCCAGGCCGCCGTGGACTCGCGCGGCTGTTTCTGGGACATCAACATCGGGTGCCCGGGAAGGGTGACGGACACCCAGGTGCTGTGCGCCTCGGAGCTGTACCAGCGGGCCCAGGAGGGCGAGCTGTTCCCCGGCGGCTCCCAGGACATCGGCGGCGTGCAGGTGCCCGTTTACCTGCTGGGCGGCGGCTCCTACCCCTTCCTCCCTTGGCTCATGCGGCCCTACCGGGGCGGGATCCTGACGCCCACCCAGCAGCGGTTCAACGAGTACACCGCTGCGGCCCGGACGGTGGTGGGCGTGGCGTTCGGGCGCCTGCGGGGGCGCTGGCGCTGCCTCACCAAGCGCAACGACACGGACGTGTCCTTCCTGCCGACCCTCATCTCTGCGTGCTGCACCCTGCACAACGTCTGCGAGGCTCGCGGCGACGCCTTCCCGCCGTGCTGGATGGAGGAGGAGGAGGACGAGCCGTGGGAGGAGCAGCCACTCGCCGACAGCGCGGAGGAGGACGCCGAAGCGGTGGAGATTCGGGACGCCCTGGCGCTGGCACTGAGGGGCTGACTTGAGCGGGAGAGGTGCGGCCCGCCCAGCCCTGTCTGAAGCTGGGCCGCGTCAGGTCGGCGTGAGAATGCGTCGCAAGTGACGTTGTTCCGAGGGCAGATGAAGGCTGTGGCATGTGAACATCAGCATTCGCAGCACATGGAAAGGTCCTTGCGGATCTGCTTTGTGTTTCTGATCTGCCTGCAGAAGACCCCCAAAGCGAAGGAAGCGGCTGTGTGGCCAGGAGAAGAGCGGGAAGAGGTGCATTTGGGGAAGGAGAATGGTAGAGCTGGAAGGGGCTTGCAAGGCCGTCGGGTCCAGCTCCCCATTCGATGCGGGACCTCAGGGAGAACCACCCCTCCCAGGTGGCTGTCCAGCCTCCTCTTGAATGCCTCCAGTGGGGGAGAGCCCACAACCTCCCTCGGTCAGGGGTCCCATCACCGTGCTGCTCTAACGCCCAGGAAGTTTTTCTGTCCAGCCGCAACCTGGAGCGTAAGCCGGTGCCTCTGTGCCCTGCACTCTGAGATAGCCCGGAAGAGAGCCGGACCCTCCTCTGCGTGCCAGCCTTTATCCTGTCTCCCCTTGGTTTTTTCTTCTCCGGGCTAAACCTCCCCAGCTCTTTCGATCTCTCCCCACAGGGCTTTGTTTCCAGGCCCCTGATCATCTTTGTTGCCCCTCTGAAGTTTTTCCAGTTTGTCTTCATCTTTCTTGAACTTGAATCATTGGAGCGTGGATATTGGAAATTACTGCGATGTATTAAATTAGGAGTGAAAGTGAAATTGGAACCTCTCACCCTGTTACAACATCTCCCAAAACCGAATATTTCCTGTGTTGGGTTAAGAACTGCTCCATAAGTTTTCAGGGTATCTTAGCTGTATCCTAATTACGCGGGGTTCTTGCTGCTTTTCGTTTCGCTTCCAGGATTAGGCAGGCAGCCTCACAAGGGGAAGATGGGATCTGAAGTGACAGAAGAGTGCGACTGGCGTACTTAGCACAGTTGCCAAATTTAGCAATAAGATTCCCTTGTAAAGCAGAGGGACGCGTGTTCCAGGCCCACATGTTAATAGAGGCGAACATGGCAAGGCATTGAAAACCCATTGCAGAAGTTACAGAATGGGGTAGAGGTTTGTTAGATCCCAGAAATGGGTTTAGGGCAGGTTTCAATTTCATTTTCTTCCTTTCCCACCCAGATACTCATTTTGATGTTTAGAGATCACCTGTATTCCTAACTGTAGTCAGGTCAATCAAAGCATAAACTCGCCACTGCCCAGCATAGTTTAAAACGTTGTTTATTTGTGAGTGATTAAGTGTCCCGAGGGCATTGAGAGAATTACAGCAACTTGTGTGTGTGGTCCAGGTAAGAGGGTGTCACCTGTCCCTTAAGAGGCTGACAGAGCTCATTTGCAGAAAAGAGGAAATAAATCGGAGGAGTGCAAAGGGAACGCTCTGAACGATGAACGGCAGCGCAGTGGCCGCTTCGGGGCCAATATTTTCCACAGTTGATGCGAAGCTTCCTCCACGCCGCTGGTCTCATGCTCGTTGAATCAGACCCAAGCTCCACCTCACTAAGATGGAGCCTGTGGCTGGGTAAGCGGGCAGAAGCTGCCCACCCAGTAGCTGGACGCACGTCTCACCAGACATGCCTGGACAGGTCTGGGCATCCTGTTAAAATGGCCCCCCAATGCCTCCCTGAGAAGAGAATGTCCCCAAAATGACACTTGGATTCCCATCCCAGGAACGCCAGACCCCCATATGTAATGTTTTTTGGAGAGCCCCCTGCAACATTCACCCTGTGAGAGACGTCGTGTATCGGTTGAGTTGACAGGCCGAACAACAGATGAGAGAGGAGTGTGAATTTAGCATCGAAAGGTTAGAGGAGCAGCAAAGAGGCGAATTCTGCTGCCCAGGAAAGCTCTCGCAAGACGTAGGGAGGACCCGAATCCAGCTCCCGTCCCTGCTCTGTCCCAGCTGAAGCACCACAGGGGTGTGCGCAGGTCCGGATCCCTCAGAGAGGCTGGTAGCCCTGGCGGTTACGCAGTCGTCCCACCACGAAAGCCACGATGACGACCAGGATGAGAAGGCCCAGGACCACTCCCACCACAATGGGCAGAACTTTTGAGCGCCTCTGCTCTGGACACACCTCGGCTGAAAGAGGCACCGAAGAGTTATTGAGGGGGCGATGGGGCTGGAGACCCCCATGTTGCGCGGAGGAGCTGGAAGAGGCACCGGCTGCCCCCTCGTTTTGCTCAGGACCGGATGAGACAGCCCCACCACCCCAGCAGGGCCTCGGCAGTTCGGCTGCAGAATCATGCGAAGGCCATCAAACTGATCGGTTCCAGCAGAAGGGGTGGAGCTGACTGTACCACGTGAGCCCATGTTAAGGCTCCCCGTGGCGTCATCTTGCTGAGACGGCCTCCGCTGTTGTCCCAGCGCGAAAGCTCCCCGTGGCCCAGTTTGCTTTCTGGCTTGACTGGTTTGCTTTGGGCTGTATCAGCCTAGCCTGCTGTCACCTGCCACGACATGTTCCTTTTCGGGATGCAGTGCCTGTGCAGAAGGAACCACACTAGCTGCCTGTTCTCTGCTGGGCCAGGCGTATGGTTCTGGTGTAGTGGGCGAAGCCTGGGAGAGCTTGGGAGCAGGATGCCCGACAAAGCACCCTCTCCCTCCAGGCCCGGCCTGGTCACCGGGGGAGCGTGCCCTGGTGGCTTCACATGGACTCCTGGCACGGCTGGGCCCCCACGGGAGAAGAGCCCTTGGGTGGCCCGGCTCCAGCCGTGGCCACGCTCTTTCCAGCGCCAGCTGTTCCAGACAGCCTTCCTGCTGACCAGGCATGTTTTTAAAGCATGGCATTTATTTGTTCCTCTGTTCTACCTTTCTGTTGTTCATCACTCTAGAATCTGTCTAGATACGGAATGGCATAGGAAGGCGAAAATAAAATTGAAGAACAACCTGCCTGCAGCCATTAGAGTGCCATTAGATGCTAGCCAGCTTCTGCTCGGGGCCTCGGCGAACTGCCGAGGAGGAGAGGTGGGCAGCGGGTGTGGGGAGCGGAAGGATGGCTCTCTTTCGGGCCGGCTGCCCCTTGAGGGCATGAACTGGTGGGTTCCTTCGCACCCCAAGGGCACTTTTTAGCCTTGAGGTAAACGGGAAGTTGGTGTGTGAGTGGGTGCCCCCACACGCTCTTGGAAGTCTTCAAAAGCGCATGTGTGGACCTGGGGAAAGGCCGGGGAGTGTTTGGCCCAAGGAAAACTCGAATCCGCTCAGTGCGTGGGCAGGAGACGCTGTGCGGAAGCAAACTGCAAAGAGGCCGGGCTGAAGCTCGAGGCGGCGATGCCGTGTGGGAGCCGGGTCGCCTGGTGTGCGAGTGGCGCCTGCGGAAGGAGGGGTGCTCACCTTCTCCAAATGCTCCATTTCGCAGCCCAAAGGCCTGGACGCGCTCATTCAGGACGTTGAGGTAAAAGCCCTCGGCGAGAGCCAGGCTGCGGTTCCTGCACTGGTAGGAGTGTCCCAGGTGGGCCTCGAACTCGCGGAGGGAGGAATTGTCGGCTGCAAAGAACGTCTCTGCGAAGACAGAGGGACATCCTGAGGCCTGTGGAAATGGCCGGTCGCCCTGCATGCCCCCCCAGCCGCGGCTTCACGGAAGAGGCGCGCCCTGAATGTGGGAACCCGTCCCTGGTGCCGCGCTGGGCGAGAGGCCACCTGGTGGGACCTGGCAGGCCCTGGCGGGTCTTTGAGCATCACCCAGCATGGTGTTCCGCCTCCTTTGTGATCATCTGACAGCTCATCTAACACCAGGGGCACCAGGCTGGGGAGGGCTGGCTCGAAATGGCCGCCTTTCTCCTCTTGGCCCACCTGGAGGTTCTGATTGCAGGTCGTGGAGGCCAAGAGCCCACGGGCTGGGCTGCCTTGAGAAAATGGCATTTTGACAGCGGAAATAGCGGCGTTGGCCATAGGGGAAATACCAAAGCCACGGGAGGGGAGCCCCTCTCCAGCCCCAGAATCCCGGAGCAGTAGAGCTGGAAGGGGCCGGCGAGGCCCTTGAGTCCAGCCCCTGCTGGGCGCAGGACTCCAGGCACAGCATCCCCAGCAGAGGGCTGTCCAGCTGCCTCTTGGGGCCTCTGTCTGGGAGAGCCCATCACTTCCCTCCTGACATTGCTGGATGAAGCGACCTGCTGGCCCTACAAGCGCGCATGCTGCGGCACGAGCAAGGGCAAGGCCTTCACACAGCCATCCCTCCGTCCGGAGAGGGCTTGGGGATGGGCCTTGCACCCCCAACTGTGACGGGCAGGAACTCGACCCGTCCCCCTGTCTCGGAGCGTTGGCCCGCAGAAGCTCCGTCCCCAAAGAGGCAGCTCCGAGCCCCTCAAATCGCCCCTACCTGTTGCCTGTGGGAACTGGACCGTCAGGTTGGCCTGTGTCCGACTCAGGTAGAACGTGCCTTGGGTCTCGTTCTGGGGAAAAGGCGAGGCAAGAGGGCCGTTTTTCAGAAGGCTCGCTCTTAGCTCTGAACCGCCACACGCAGAGCGTCTGGGACGCGAGCGGCACAGCCCTCCATGGTTCGCTTGCGGGCCGCCATGCGTGCCACGCCGCCCCGTTAGTGTTTCCCAGCAGGAGGGGGGCCGCCTCCAGGCAGCCAGGCTAGGTAGGAGTTCCCTTTGTTGGTCTCCCGGCTCCTCCAGGCCCCCGAATCTGGCCGGCTGGGTTTCTCCAGGCAGGGGAAGCTGCGGGTTCTGGCAAGGCCAGGGAAGCCCCAGTGCCCGTCCCCTGGGCGAAATCTGGCAGGAGGCCCGGCTCAGCCACAGGGTGCCTGGGGAGGCGTGTGGGGGACATGGACCGCTCGCTCAAGCAGGCAGGAGCGCTCGGCTGCAGCCCTGGCATCTCCGGGAAGCGCAGGGAACCCTGGAGAGGCCCGGCTGCCAGTTGGTGCCGGCAGCTCTGGGCTGGACGGACGCAGGCCCTGGCTTGGAGCGCGGTTGCTTCCCTGCAGCACGAAGAGCCGCGTGATCTCGCAGCTGCGATGTGGCATCTGTCGGATCGGGCGGCGTGCGCAGGGTTTGCCTGGCGTGGCGGGACTGCGGCTGCGAGCCCGTCTGCTCCGCTTCTCTCGCAGTCGCTCTCCAAGCCAGGCAGCCAGGCGGCCGGCCGGCCGGCGGGCGCATGAGTCGCCTCGGGGATCAGCCAGCGCTGGGGCACTCGCCGGGCCTGGGGAGGTCATCTTGCACTCGGACGGTCTGCCCA